AGCTTAATTTGCATCACTCCTACACCCAAACTCTACTGTACTCCATCAATCTATGCCCAGATTCTGTTGTTACTTTAAAATTGCATTGTACGACGAACCCAACTTTGCTCCCTTTGAGCGCTAGACGATGTGATGACATCTACCGATGATGTTGCATGCTAGAATCGCGTCAGCCGACGACATACGCAGTGAGTGTCTGGCTTAATATGTTGAGACTGTTCAGTTTGCATTTATTTTCAATCCTTTCTCAGATTCTACTCGGTTCATCCATGCTCTGATTTTCCTGAGTCAATCCATGCTCAGATTCTAATTCCTGCTCAGATTCTGCTCAGTCAGTTCATGCTCTGATTTTGCTCAATTAATTCCTGCTCTGATTCTGCTCAGTCAATCCATGCTCAGATTCTGCTTAGTCAATTCCTACTCAGATTCTGCTCAGTCAATCCATGCTCATATTCTGCTTAGTCTATGCATTGTCAGATTCTGCTCAGTCAATCCTAGCTCAGATTCTGCTCACATTAATTAATTCTGCTCAGTTAGTCCTCATCCAGATTCTGTCAATCCATTGTCAGATTCTGCTCAGTCAATTCCTGGTCAGATTCTGCTCAGTAAGTCCATACCCAGATTCTGCTCAGTCAATTCCTGCTCAGATTCTGCTGTAGTCCATCCAGATTCTGCTAGTCTATCCATGCTAAGATTCTACTCAGTGAGTCCTCCCCAGATTCTGCTCAGTCAATTTAACAATTGTAGCGCATTAGTGACTTGTTGTTTGACTTTTGTAGTCAATGTCCGTATTGCGAATCGATAGTTCATGCAGGTGGAAAAGCTTGTGTACAATTGTTTTAGCATAAAGTTAATGATTCATTGAGTCGGAAAGGCTTCACACTATTCAATCAATACTTATGGAATGAATATAAATAAATAGCCCTGAATGGCCAGCAAAATGATGAAAACTAATTTAATATGGCATTTGATTAAGATTGGAAAAATATTAAGATTTGGCTGATTTTAGTAAAGTTGTAAGATTAACAAGTTTTTCAAAATATTGCATATAATTAACATAATTAAGTAATAGTTCTTGTATTGGTTTTGCCATTTATACTTTTTTGTTTTCGGTATTTCATTAATTACTTTGGTGGTTTGAAATAGGTTTTGTTACTGCAATTTAGGGGCTAGGGAGGTCCTACTGAGAATTAAATTCAGTCTGTAAAATATTGTACGATAATATAAGAAATTATAATTAATTATAAATAACTAATAATGTAGTGAAACTACAACCTGACTAGAACTAGTATTGAGTAGAAAAACGGCAGAAGGTTAGTATATTCGACAGTTAACTCTCCCTTCCCTCCTGGGAGACAGGACATAGAATAGTCCAGGAATATATTTGTTTTTTATGAAAATTTATTGTCCCTATGAAATATGAGCCTTACACCTTCTATAAATACATTATATTTCATATCTTACCTATAAGTAAAATATAACAGTGTTTCCTCATGGGGCCTCTTCAATTTATTCCTCACTAAATTGTCGTGCAATAAAACTTGACTCGAATTGTATTATTCATCAGAGTGTAATTGGCTTTAATGTTTGTGTTGGTAATTTGTAATCAGTTGGGATATAGCAAGAGGCTTAATTTGGGATTTTTAAGTTCATTTTTACAGATTTAGATTCAATAATAATCAAATATATTCTGTTTGTGATTTATGTTTGTCATAATAATTCTTCAAGGGATGTCTTGATTGTGTGTAATTGTCATAAAGGTTGATTATTTTATTCATTTTTGTTTCTCATAAAAACTTCCCATCAAAAAGTCAAGTTACTTAATTGCTGATAGTTTGCGATTTATTTTTGTCATAACAATTCTTCAAGGGATGTCTCGATTGTGTGTAATTGTCATAAAGGATGATTATTTTATTCATTTTTGTTTCTCATAAAAACTTCCCATCAAAAATTCAAGTTACTTAATTGCTGATAGTTTGTGTTGATGGAACAGTGCACTTTGTGGTCATAATTAATGAGTCTGTGTACTATTATGTTTATAAAATAATCAAATTGCAGTTGAACTCAGTACTGTATTGATCTGTGGCGTGTCTAACGGGTGTGGGGGAAGGGGTACCACACCCCCAGATAAAGTTTGCACATACATTTTAGCAAGAATTGTTTATTATTAATAGGTGTAAAATGAAATATTGGTTAATGTTGATTGGTGCATAATAATCACATGACATGCAGAAACTGCAAAATACATTGCATTGATTTGTTAGCATTTTAGCAAGCAATGACTTGTGGAATTGAAATTGCATTCTGGGTAAATAATAACGATTTAAATGTATGTAGAGTGAATAAAGGATTAAGTAAATCAATTCATTAAAGTCACTCGTTTGAGGATATGTCAGTCCCTTCTAATTATCCAGTCAATAGATTACAGAAGAAGTGGAATATATAATATATTTTGTATACAAACCAAATTCCACACATATACAGTGTCTTCTCACACAGTCACATCACATATTTATTATCTTTCATACAGCTACAAAAGAAAGTTACATTCAAAATTTACTTGTAACCACCCAATTTAAAAATTGAAAATAAGACAGTAGAGCCCATTCTTTGCGACATCCCAAATAAGGAGATAACCCTAATAAGGGACACTCCTTATAAGGAGACCCCTATTATTGTAAGTATTGTAACAAGTGTTAATCTCATATAGACACCAATATTACATTATTTCGTCATCCATTATAGTGAGATATATCAACCAATCAAAATGGGATACAGTGCTATGATATAAATATATTAAACATCTGGTAAAGATTGGCACTTTGACAATACTGTATAGTATAAGTTCCTTGTTTATATCAGTATTTATGCGAACTGAATAAAGAAAGTGAAAAATATATTAGGGTTCTATTTCATAAACAAAATATAGATGTACTCTGGGGATACAAGGTTTTTGTATTAACTAGAAAAAGAAAAAAAATTGTTTTGATTTTATGTTATGAGAGATATGAAAATAATGATATTAAATTACATAATGTATCATTTCTACCTAGTGAGTACTGTAAGTGACTATCCATTTGGATACTTTTCATAAGTTCATATCCAGTGTGTGTTTTTTTTTCTCTAGCACACTTAATTTCAACTTTGCAAAATCTGAGTATTTTTTTTTAATGGAACATTTATACAATGTCTATTAATTAATCAACCATTCAATCAGTTACTAAAAATATACTCCAATGATGTACATAACATATCCCACAAAAAATAACATAATTTATTTTATTATAGTTTTAAAAAAAAAATTGTATTCTAGATGTCATTGCATTTAAAAGCAAACATGTTTGAATCTTCGATTTACGATCTATTCATCTTTGGAAAGTGCTAACCTGTCCTGCATCTCTTTGATGTTGTTGTCATGGTAATGGATTGCCTCACCTAGATGAGTTTGTTTATCACCTTTTTGTTTGTCTCCTGAGAGTGATCAGCAATTTTAATAGTTGTTTAGCAGCCTATTATGAAGGCCTCAGACAGTCATTCTAAAGAGGCCTAGAAAAGGTGACATTTAAAGCAGAATTTGTTTTTCTACTAATCAGAGGTGTCCTAAATACGCCACTGACTTTGGAGGCTTATTTTGAGATGAAAAGATAGAAACTATACTGTAGAAAATATTGACATTAGCGGTTGTTTATATTTCTCTACAAAGCTCTGGATCCCTGCTCTTTATATTTAGCTTTGGGACCTTTTAAGAGATCAGCAACCTGAAAGACAGAAACCTGTACAATTTTTTAAAATAATTTTTCTACTACTAACAGGGATTTTCATCCTGATTGATTGTACCTGATATACGGACAGAAACCAAGTTATTTTATATATATTTTGTTGCTATTAACCTAGAAAGCATTAACTTATTTTAGCTTATGATACCTAGCAGAAGATGAAAGGAGGAACTGATACCTCTAGTGATAATAACCTATTACAGGAATGATGGGGAGAAAGACAAAGTTGAATTCTGGGAAATTGTTGGATGAGTGCCATTAACATTAGATTTAAACCTATAGGGATCAATAGCACACACTCTGCCATTTACATTCTAACATTTTATTATTTTACGTCGAAAATAGGATTAATTTATCTCTGCGCGTCCCAAGTCTCTCGGGAACGTGTATCTTAAATTCCGGTTTTTTGGCAGGTATTCGTCAGAAATATAATACGTTTTAAAAATAAATCTTATAATCGCCTAATGGGCTCGGCTCAAAACTCATCTTGTGCAATTCCATTTAGAAGATGGGAATCAGTTCAACTGATAATTGAGAGTGCTTTTCATTCATAGTTCGAGTTCAAGATCCATCACTTTAGTATATAACTAGTCATTGCAAGTACAATACTGTAACATGCAATATCACCAATATTTATAGGCACACCCACATGAAAAATTAAGTACTCAAAAATTAAGCACACTAAAAGTTGCACTAAAACATTAAAAGGTTTCTTAATATACTAATTAAGGTATTTCTTAATATACTACTTATAAGTATACTCTCAAATTCTAAGTACTAATGTAAAAATTATACTTTGTTTAATGCTCAGATTGATATTCGATTAGGCAGTGATTGACAATCCCCATGAGGATATATTTACTATATAAAGGGCCATTGTCTAGAAGAAAGTAATAGCTTGATTATTATACCAAGTTTCATGTTTTTGTATTATATAATTTATACATGATTCTGTGGTTTTCTATAGTAAATATATTATGAGAACCATAGTATTGTTGTTATTCAAATTAATGTTTAATAATAATCATTGATATTATACAATATTATCTGTTAACTCAATTGAATGCATAATTTTTATTTCAAGGTTTGTATTTTTTATTAATGAAGTATTTACCTTCATAAATCGTTAAGTTGTTATTTCTTTTAAAGGTTTTCCACTTTTGTTTATATTTCTTTATATTAATATGATGAGTAGCTCATTGATTATTACATATTATCTTCCAGGTGTATCAGTGGACTGGTCAGACCATGCCATGTGGTGGCCAGAAAAAAACACCTGGCTTCTCAGAACCAACTCAACACTTGACCAGTGCCACGTGATGGCCGATTCAAAGCTATGGTTCACGCCGATGCACAAAACCCTTCGAGTCCAGTTACCGGACATGCAGTTACTGGACCTGTCTGTCAATTTCTCCTGTAAGGTCTTCAATGCAGTACAAGATTTGTGCAAAGACCTTGGTGAGTTTTTATTAATTTTATATAATACAAATACAAAAAAAAATAAATACATTATAAATATTGTTCTCCTCAAATATTGAATCAGTACAACGCTTATAAATATTGGTTATTGTTCCCATAGGAATACGTCATCCAGAGGAATTATCGTTTTTAAGGAGACCTCAGGAAAAATCTCTAAAACCAAATGGTAGAGACACTCAAAAGAAAAAGCGTGGCGATCGTGACCGCGACTCCATGGCATCGAGCAACAGTGCTGATTTGGCGTCTACTGGAAGCTTAGATGGAATACCTCCTCATTCTCCAACACCTTATAATAAATCCAGGTCAGGTACCACTACTCCTGGAACTCCAGGTTCGAACTCCAGCTTTCCCGGTCACAACGGAACAGCCGTTTCCATATATAGCACTGGATCTAGCTATAGCGATGGGTCTTGCGAAGGCCTTAACACATCGCTCACAAACAGTCCGCAGGTCCCATCTCGAGAAGCTTTGGATGGACTAGTCAAGCCCAAGTCCTTCAGAGATAAAGCTATAATCAATAAAGGGTAAGCTAAGATCATTTCTGTTTAATTAATGATAAAAATATCCTAACAAATGTTGATTTTGATACATACCTACTTCCGAAGTGATAACTTAAATCAATGTTATATCATTTCTATTCTTGATAAAAACATACATCAATTGAAATATTGAAGGGCAATCAGCACCTGAACGGCAAATCCAAACAAATGTCATTATGCCCTCTGCTCTTTTCATATTGTAAGCTGAGGAGCGAAGGAATTTTGCATATATAATAAACCTTTATCTATTTTTCAAGGATCCCTAAATTTGTATTCTTATTTTTGAGGTTGTCCCTTAGGTACATGATAACATGATACTGATGCACGCACTAGGTGAAGCGAAGCATCTGTAATGATCATCTCATCAAGCACTCCCCACCCCCTACTAAGCTAGGGTCAAGTTCTGATACTTAATAAACAATTCGTCAAATGAAAATACGAAGATGTACAAAAACCTATTGTCCCTTCTGGGTGTTTGAAAATAGTAATTAAACCTGAATTTTCCTTGGCACCACCAGCAGGGTACTGATTTTTGGTGCAGTGTTTATGTGTACATGTTATTGACAAGTCTGTAATCAAAGGAATATTGCAGAGGAGTGTTTTACTGATACATCAGTTTGATTGTCATTAATGAAAACTACCAACCCTCCAGAGACTCACAAATTGTGAGAAAAAAAGATGTTCTCCATACCCGTGGGGATTTGAAAGGTCATTGACATGTAGATTTCTTTCGCAGGTCAAATGAGGATAGAATCCTTAGAGGATATAGATTATACTCAGCTTTAAAATACTTGTTATTTCTGCGTTTCTTTTTTTTTTTCATATTATAAACACTGGTTTTTCCATTATACAGACAACATTAAAACATTTATATGAAGTGAGCAAATTATAAACAACAGGATGAGATTAAACAAATCACTGTTGAATGGTTTTCAAGCTTTATACAGGTTTTTTTTTTTTAGCCAAAAATCCACTTGTTTATGCAGTAAATGATGATCCCTTTTACAACACAAACATAAAGACATGATGTTCTTTCTACATATTAAGCTTTTTATTAGGCTCAGTTAATGGAGTTATTTTTTGGTTTTGGAAAAAAAAAAGCTTGTCTGTTGGCAGGATTTGAACCCAGGACCTTGAGATTAGGAGAGCGAGCATCTTAACTATTGTGCTGTAGTCGCACTGAGACCCTGTGTTGGAAAACAGGCATGACCACTAAATTTGGAGTGGAGTTGTATAGCTCAGTGGTTAAGTTGCTTGCCTTCTAATCCTAGTTCTGGGTTCAATTCCTGTCACAGCAGGACATTTTCTTAATGACGAAAATCAACTCCACTCCCCAAACCTCAAAAAGAGACTTGGTGTATAAAGCATTGTTATATCCTGTATGTTTTTGAAATAAATATAAATAAAAATAATAAAAATAAATATAGCACCTCTCATCATAGATATGTCAACATGAAGAGTTTAATTTAACTACTGTGTGACTTTAAGAAGTACTGTATACTGTATTGTAAATTCTGAGTTGTGTGATGAACAGGGAGGTATTCTCAGAGTTGCTGCTGAACATTGACACAGATTCCAGTATTTTTAGAGGGGAGGGTACTTAAATTAATAACACCAAGTGTGGGGGCCAGGTGGATAGTCAGGCCTCAGTGAGGTTCATAGGCAGAGCAGGTGTTTTGTTTGATACTCACTACAAATTAGATCATGTCAAATCGATTAAAATTCTTGGGCATGCACGAAGAAATGATATATCAGATCTCATCTCAGCGACTTTACACGCCTGAATATGGACTGTAAAAGGTTCTGAGGTGTTCACTCTTACGGTACATACATTTCTCTGACAGTTTTTAAAACAAGGATAAGATTTCACACATTCATTTCTCTGTATCTGTGTGTTATAGCAATTGAAAATTACAAGTAAATACTTTGTCATAACTACGGATTCATAAAACAGTAACGCTGTATTCTTTTATTATCCATTTGGTTCTTGAAATGTCTGGTCATCTATTTGTGGAATAATAAAAATTCGCTAAATCCTTTAATTTCCCAAGTTCGAGACATCACCTGACTTATTGCCATGTTCCCAAATAATGAATAATACCTCAGTGACTCTTTCAAATTAAGCAATTAATTAACTTCATCTTGTGGAAGTTTCTATTTGTATAATTCTTAATTTTCTCTTGGCTTAATGCTCAAGCAAACATATATGTTCAGCTGTAAAAATGATGGTAGAAAGATCAATACAATGTGACTAGAAGATGCCGGAACTAACATTTTAAATGCACTATGTGATGTGAAAGGATTTGCAAGTGTGATATATTCTGTAAATATTGCATGAAGGATATTTGATCAGTGGACATTTCAAATTGCATTATGGGGTAGTTGATCTGTCAAAGTGAAAGTTTGACATTTGATGAAATGGACTATAGCTCTATCCACACTATCAAATTTACTTTGACAAAAAAATGTGACAAGCCCATATATAGTAATGCTATGCCTATATATGGTCATGGTGTGATGTCATCATTCCCATATATGGGCATATCACACTTTTTTGTCACACAAAATTTGATAGTGTAGACAGAGCTTAAAACGTTTCTAATTATTTTTTTAAATAATTATTACATAGCCTGCTTTGCTAATAATATTTCATGACAGTTTGTTTTACTACAATTAATGTTTGTCAATAAATTTTGTTATATTGGTTATTATCAATTACAGAATTATACAATTTTCGAAAATAACACACACACACAAACTGAGATAATATTCGCATTGTAACTACTTATATATTACGACTTGCAATTTATAAGATTGTTAATATTGCTTTCACATCTTCAATCTGCAGTAGGCCTAAAGTATTTCAAAATTATTTTGTTTACAAAATTGATGTGATAACCCAGTTTTAAAATACTCAAAGTTCACAGTCTAAGCTATTATATTGGGTCTTTTCAATGATTACTATATTAGTCCTATTTCAATTAATTGCCAGTTTGCAAAAATGACAGTGTAGTGTTGGTATGAGCCAACTTGATAATATTATTAGAAGATGTAAACATAATAACCATAGCCCTAAGCACTTTATTCAGATGAGTGGTCATTTCTCATTGACCTTCTGGTCAGCTGGTTCTACAGTATTGAAACACCTTAGGTCAATAAGGTGTACTTAAGCTTGTGAATTGATGGGAAATTCTTTCTGTGTATTCAGGGACTACAGTATGTAGCAGTTAATTTGTTTAAAAGTACTGTATTCAGTTAACTTTACCTCAGCATTTTCCTATTATGCTGTCCTATGCCTCAATTTTTTAATAAGGCTTGGGTTCCATACAATCGCTACATGCTATCGCTGATAGCGTTCAGTGATGCTGATTGGTCGGTTGAATCGGGGAACTTTCCCAATTGTGTTGGGGACTGCTACGCAGTATAACGGTTGCACCGAAACCACTGAAGCGACAGTGTAGTAATTTTATGGAAACCAAGATTAACCAGTTTCCCAGACAAATCTCTTTTGATATTATAATGCATTAATGTATTATTGAAATGTACAATATATCTATATTTTAAAATAATAATGATAATTAGTTGAAGTTATTAAGATGTAAAAAGTGCAATCATGTGTTTTGCCTGTCTGTAAAATCTTCTTTTTATTGTACAATTTATTCAAATATAATTCCAAAATATTCTTGGTTAGTACTATATTCTGATCATGAATAATTTTTGTAAAGAAGTATCTAATTTACTCAATTTGCCAATGATCCAATGAAAAGCTCTCGAAGTTGGCATACTGCCAAAAAAGTGACTTTGGATAAGTCTGTTCGGAATAGCTGACTGCCCTAAGATCGAATGACATTTATTTTCACGTTTAATAATAGACTAGTGGTTTCAATATTTTTGTGTGGGAACTTCCCAAAGATTTTTCTCATGCATTTATCATGTGCTTCAACCTCTAATAAAATATTCATACATATAGTTACACTACTAAAAAGCAAGTTAATTATCGAGATTAGACCTTAATGCATGCTTATTCGATACATTAACATGTTTTACGAGAGATGCAAGATATTCTGTGCAGAGATATTCTAAACTATACTACATGAAAAAGATGTTGAAATAGGTTATAATGGGACTTTAAATATATCCTTTATTTTTCTCTTAAGGTCATTTAGAGTAAACTAAATGAGAGTATGATTTGCATACAATGTCATTCTTTTTAGGTTTGGGTACATATTATATGGATACCATTAACACTTTATATATTGTTACTGTAATTAGTTCCTGTGGTTGAATTGGAACATGGGTATACCAATCAGCTAATCAAATTGACATGGTTAAATCCTTTTGACTGAGGATATGTTGGTAATTATAGGATTGATCTAAGCTCTGTCACAGCTTTTCCTAATGCATCCACACAGCAATTACAAAAGGCTTGTTTCTAATCCATTAGTTAATAGCCAAATACTAACCTCATTTACCACTGTAGTTCGTTTTTCAAAAGGCCTTTACTGGAAATAAAAATTGGCCAAAAATTGCTTTTTCAAGAAATTGCTTTTTTCTCACAGCTGAAACATGTTTTAAAAAAAGGACGCAACTAACCGATTTCAACTGTGCACTTTTTAGCTGCAACACAAAAAGTGATTATCAGGTTAAATGTGGTCTCCAGGCTGTCTGACACTCATTAAAAAAGCGGTTATTAAAAATCAGTTATTTTGTGTTTATCAGTAAAAACACGCCCATAGTAATGGTGTGTATTATGGCCTGGGCATGGTTGATAGCCCTGTGTTATGATCTTGAGACTGTACACCCCCCGGGGAGCTCACTTGCATACTTATCAAACAGTGGGGGGGGGGGGGGTGCCGCAGCCACTTCAAGGCATGAGACACTTTTGCTACCTATTTTACTGAAAGTTCTTATGGACTTAAAATACCATTTATACCAAAATCGCACTGTGCTCTGCTAACATTATGCGGAAAATCGTGGCACTTTGA